TATCTTATTACATCTTTTTCAATGGTTTTGTTCATATTTTTTTGTTTTTATTTTTTGTTATTAGTTAGTTGGTAGTTTCTACGTTTGTATGGCTTTGATTTAATTCAATTTTTGTTTAATTCTGGAGTGCCCCAAGGATCTAACCTTGGTCCACTTTTACTTGTAATGTTTATTAATGACCCTTAAGTCGCTGATGACATTAAAATCTTTAGAAGAATTATTATTTGTACACAAATTGACTGTTTAAAACTCCAAAAAGAAATTGATTTATTATGTGCCTGGTGTGTTGAAAACCATATGTCATTAAACGTAAAAAATATAAGGAAATAACTTTAACCAAAAATAAAAAGCAAATACCTTATAACTACTATGTTTGTGGAAGTTATCTAGGACATGTTAAAATTGTTTGTGACTTTGGAGTAATGTTTGACACATTTTTAACATTCAAGCTTCATTACAATTGTATCACAAAAAAGACAATTAAATTGTTAGAGCTTGTACTCCGTAACACCATACACTTTTTTTTACTGTACGTTTTGCTACTACAAAGTACACTCAAATACTATTCAACTGATCACCTATATATAAATGCCATGGGATACAGCAATTTGTTTTTTTGAAATAAGTTCATGGATACATTGTTACGTCTGAGAACTAAGATAGAATGCCTCATCACAAGTAAAAAGAATTGTTTTAATCATTAACCATACTAAACATAGTAACATTAACCTCGGTAACCAATATGCCTCAAACAGTATCAGTGCACTGAGTTGATGCTATAGTGCAGTGTAGTTTGTCTGTGTCGGTGATAAATTTTTGATTGAGTTTCTATTGCCACATTGGCATTTGCTCAGTAAATATTCATATTGTACAAAATTATTACTTTTTACACTAAGGGAATTGTATTGAATTTGATGCCACATTTAAAATGATAACCTTAATTATATAGGATCAATCACATTTCATTATCATCATCATCATTACAGCCCTTCACAAGTCCACTGCTGAACATAGGCCTCCCCCAAGGAATGCCACAAAGCACGTCTCTCGAGCCACCCGCATCCATCGACCTCCTGCATATCTCACCAGGTCGTCACTCCATCTAGTGAGGGGACGCCCAACACTTCGCCTGCCGGTACGAGGCTGCCACTCGAGAACCTTTTTTTCACCATCGGTTGTCGGTTCTTCGAGCTATATGGCCGGCCCATTGCCACTTCAGCTTACTAATCAGTTGGTGGGCTATGTCGCTCACTCTGGTTCTACTGCGGATATTCATTCATTTTATTTATTTCAGTAATAAACTTTACATTTCACTTTCTTCAACATTTGTCATATGCAAAGGAGTGGAATAAGGTGCCAACATCTGTCTTTCCATCCGATAACAATGTGGGTATCTTCAAGACAAGAATAAATAGACTTTTGTTAAGCTAGGTCAATGCTCTTTACCATCTATGGTATCATGACCACTTACCATCAAGTGGCAAAATTGTCAATTACTAGCTTACATTAGTTAAAGAAAATTACTGCATCTACTTTAACTTTTAATCTTAATCTTATATATATATATATATATATATATACATACATACATACATATAATCACGCCTCTTTCCCGTAGGGGTAGGCAGAGACCAGTTCTTTCCACTTGCTACGATCCTTACATACTTGTTTTGCTTCGTCCACTTTCATTATTCCCTTCATACATGCTCTACGGTTTAGGGTACTCTTGAACTGGCCTTTTTTCAAGACGTCCCTGATTTGGTCTAGAAATGTCCGCCTAGGTCTACCCCTTCCAACACTTTCATTCACACTCGCCTTATACACTTTTTTCGTCAATCGTTCTTCATTCATTCTCTCGACATGGCCAAACCATCTCAGCATACCTTTCTCAATTTTTGTCACTACATCTTCTTTCAGACCACAACGTTTCCTTACCTCACTATTTCTTAGCCTGTCACTCAGTTTAACTCCTATCATACTTCTTAATGCTCTCATCTCAACTGCATTTATTCTGCTTTCATGTTTCTTCTGCCATACCCAAGTTTCACTTCCGTACATGAGTGTCGGAACCAACACCCCCTCATGCACAGCCAAACGAGCCTTGTTAGACACCTTCCGACTGCTCATAAAGGAGTGCAAAGCTCCATTCACCATGTTTCCTGCATTCACTCTTCTTTCGATATCACTCTCACACTTTCCATCTCTTGTAAACTTTGAACCCAGATACACAAACTCTTTCACCTGTTCAATTTGGTCATCTTCAATCACGATATTGCAGTCTGTCACTGCCTCATCTTTTTCAAACACCATCACTTTCGTCTTCCTTACATTCATCTTCATTCCCTTTCTAACAAAAGCTCCACTCATAGCAGTTACCATCTCCTGCAACTCCTCCGCCGAAGACGCAAGTAATACTTGGTCATCAGCATAGAGAAAACATTTGACGAGTAACTCATTCATTCTCAACCCACTTTCATTCTCTTTTAAATCTGTCAAACAATTGTCCATGAACAGATTAAACAGCCACGGTGACGCTACACATCCCTGTCTAACACCTTTTTCGATATTAAACCATTCAGTGTATGCCCCGTTTATCCTTACACAAGCACTAGAATCCCTATAAAGAGATTGCATTGCTCGTATGAGGATACTGCTCACACCGTTCACGGACAGTGCTGACCACAATTCATTCCTCACCACTCTATCATAGGCCTTTTCTAGATCTACGAACGCGCAGTAGACTTTCTTGTTTTTAGCCAAATACTTTTCGGCTATGCACCGCAAGGAAAAGACCTGATCCGTACATCCCATTCCCTTTCTAAATCCCGCTTGTGCATCCCATACTTTCTTGTCTGTTTCATTCACAATCCTTTCAATCAACACTTTCGCATACAATTTACCGACGACGCTGAGAAGGCTTATACCGCGGTAATTTATGCAGTCCTGCCGTGACCCTTTTCCCTTATACAATGGCACGATTACGGCTTTGCACCAGTCTCCCGGTACTTGCCCATTTCGCCAGCACAGATTGAAAAGGCGGTACAGCTGACTAGCCACCAGGCCCTGTCCAGCCCTCAGCATCTCGACGGTAATCCTGTCATACCCTGCAGCCTTACCTAATCTCATACTTTTCAACGCTTTCACTATTTTATCCATGCTTATCTCATTTTCATCAACACTTATATTAGTTTCCGTGGAAGGTGGCAGATGCTGTACCTGCACTTCCTCTCTTTCAAACAAACTTTCAAAATACTCTTTCCATCTCTTTAACACACATTCTTCTCCTTTTATAATGCTCCCATCTTGACTCCTGATTGTACTCAGCTCAGAGGTAGAAGTTTTTCCTCTGGCTGTTTTGATGGTTTTCCAGAAAAACTTAATGTTTGACTGGAAATCTTCAGTGAGCCTCCTATCGAAATCATCCTTTCGTTCTTCTTTCTTTCTAGACACAATTTCTTTCGCTGCTGTTTTCAATCTTTTATACTTCGTTCTTGCTTCCTTTATCTCGTCATCCGTTGCCTTTTGAACTTTTTGGTTAGCTTTTGTTGCTAACCAATCCAACCACGCTTTCTTCTTTTCTTGCACAACCTTTTGTACATCTTTATCCATCCACACGTTATCATTCTTTCTTCCTTTCCTTCTTTTAGCTACCCCGCATACCTCGATAGCAACATTTACGACCCCTTTCTTAAATGTCTCCCACAAATCTTCAATCACTCCTATCTCTTCTATCCCTTTAAAACTTTCTTTCAGTTTCTCTACATACTCGTCTTTCTTTTCTTCTTCTTGTAGATTTTCCACTTTTACTCTGTCCAAAACACTCGTAGGCTCGGCCACTCGGTGTCGCCACCGTTTAAAGAGGCCACGCATTCGGGCTATGACCAGGAAGTGGTCTGTGTCGAGGCCTACACCGCGGTATGCCCGAGTGTCTAGCACTTTCTTCCTCAGTCTTTCATCCACAATTACAAAATCAATCATACTTCTAGACTCACCCTTATCTCTTGTATACAAATGGATCTTTTTGTGGTCAAACATTGTGTTGGCCACGCACAGATTCCATTCCAAGCATACTTCAAGCAGGCTTCTCCCATTGTCATTCACTCTCTCATCCCCAAACGTACCCAGAACTCCTTCGTACCCATCACGCTTTACTCCAACCCATCCATTAAAGTCCCCTAACATCACGATCCGTTCATTTTCTCCGCATTTATTCAAGACCTCTCTCATGCTATCCCAAAATTCCTCTCTCTCTTGTTGTGTTTTTATGGACCCACCTCCACGCAGATCCGTTGGTGCATAGACCCCAAGGATATATATATATATATATAACTAAAAAGTATAAATAAAAATAGTTGTTTCAAAAATATGAGAAAACTATTTATTTAAAAAAAAGCACTACTCTCTTCTACAATAGGATTTTTCCTGCACTGAGCAGGCATTTTGCATACACGAATTACATGCTATACAAACACTTCAATTGGTCATGGATATGTTATCAAAAATAAAAATTTCCTATTTATTTAACCCATGACAAATAACGGGTGTTTAGAACCTGTATCTGTGTGTCAAATGAAAATATAAACTTAAGTAGGCACAAAAGTTACAAACAAGTTTTGCCTAAGCTTTATTTAGGAGTGAAAGTCAATAAAAAAAAATACAGGAAACTGTAATTGAAACACGAAATGTTCTTAGACTATTTTATGAAGATTATTGATGGTTTGCAAGTTTATAATCAAGTCCATAAAATAATGTATCATTTCTATAGACTTTATTATATCAATCTTAATTAACCTTTTGCGTTAAATTTCTTTAACATAAAACCACCCAAAACTTACTTTGCCAGTTTTATCACAGAAGATAATCTAGAAAATTTGGAAAAGTATGAACATTTTGAAGTTAATGTAAATTGAGCCAAACTTGTTAAAATCTGTCATTTCGTTCAAGTGGGGGCTGACAGAATGGAAAAAGTTCAAAAAGAGAGCTTGTAATTCTTTACTTACCTTCCTATCTTTTGAGATAGCTTGTAATGCTTCAATCTGTTGTTTAAATCCAACATTCCAAAGATCTTGTTCAACTTTTTTTTCCAATGCATAATCAAGGTCTACCATAAGTATCTTCTGATAAACCTAAAACAATTAGAATATAAAAAGTAAACATTAAACATCTTTATCTACGTCTTTTAAATTATGGCTTCTCTTGATAGAATTCTGCCAGTAACAAGTCAGTCATGGTAGTGACAAGTAAACTTTATAAAATTATTGTATAAAATGTCAGTGACAAACATTTTGCAACTGCTGTTGTGTGGTCCATAGGCTACGGTCTTGAAGCATTGATGTTCCACTGCTAAACTTTAAAATTTTCTGTTTCAATTCATCTGCCTCCCTGTAATAATAATTTGTTATTCGTAAAATAAAAAAAATTCTCAGTTAAAGAAGAGATAATGATTAAATAATTTACAAAGATCAACTTCTTTAAATAATAAAAGATTAGTGTAAAAATTTACTATGTAATCGGTTTGATAGAGATGATGTAAAATACATTTATTGCGTATATTTTCTTACGCACCTTAACATTTGTACAGCGGCATTTAAAACCATTTTGATAGAGGCTTAAAGCCTCAATATTTGTCATAGCATTAGGAAAAGATTCGAAGTAATAAAAGCTAAGTATTGGAAGAAAAATCCTAAAAACAATCGAAATCCATGCACAGCAAATTAATTTACGTCATGTTGACATTAGGGATGTGATAAAATAATCGATTTTCATATAGATCGATTTTTTTCTTATAATCGATTTTTCAAAGTCGATTTTTTTATAATAAAAATCGATTTAAATAAATCGATTATTTAAAATACGCTTTTTAATCGATTTTTGTAATCAGAGTCATGTGTGCGATGGATGTAAAAACGTGAAGTAAGTTCAATAACAGAATAGAATAGAATTATTTTTAATCAATATACATTACATGTGCAATTCTTATTGAAAGTCATTTTTTACTTTACCACTGGTTCGAAAAAAATCCCTCTGTTCTGGGAATAACCAGCAAGAAACATGAATAAGTCAATCAAAAGAATAGCGTCATCTGTGCGAAAGATGAAAAAATGCGAAGTAAGTTCACGAACATGAACAAGTCGATCAAAAGACGGCGCCACCTTTATGTATCTCTATGCATGTAAAACAGTTTCGCCTATCGTATGTTTTCTTCCTCCGCTAGGAGTAAAAGTATTCTGTGGTTTTCTTTCTTTCTTTAGTTAGGGTAAACAATTATATATAACAATAAAAATGTCTTGTAAAACGCCTAAAAGTGACTGGCAGAAGTATTTTTAAATGAAAAAATGATAGCGGCCAACAGACAAAAATACTGAATTGGATCTATATATTGCGGCACCACTATCAAATCTCAAGGCAGATGCCCTCAATATATGGAGAAGCTCTGAAGGAACTTTCCCTAAACTAACCGAATTGGCTTTTAAACACCTCCCTGTGATGGCATGTTCCGCGCCAGCCGAACGATTATTTTTGAAAGCGGGAAATAATGTCAGGAAAAAACGAAACCGTATTTTGGGAAAGGGACGAAGAAGAATTTTGGTGAAATGGTTGTTTTAAAACTCTTTAACTGAAAATTCATGGTAATAATATTTTTCACTTTTTTTGTTTACACAAGTTTAAAAAAAGATTTGTCTTGTATTTTAGTTTTGAGACCAAAAGGTTGTCGTTTGATTATTTATAATTATATTTTTATTTTATTTTCATTCTACTCCAATGTAAATGATACTGAACATTAGTGGCAGTAATTATTTATAGATTTTTTGTTTAAACTTAAAGTTTAAAAAAGATTTATTTTAGTTTTGAGACCAAAATGTTATCGTTTGACTATTTAAATTTATAGTTTTATTTTATTTTCATTCTAATCCAATGTAAATGGTAATGAACATTTGGGGTACAATGATATTTAAACTTTTTGTTTGTTCAAACTTAGTTTGAAAAAACTATCGTTTACTAAGCTTATCGTTTCTTAATGATTTCTTATATTTACGCGAAGACTACACATTAACTAAACTACACATGAAACAAATTTTTACGGATTTTATCGCGCTTGATTTAACTTTTTAATTTCCGACGTTTCGGGTGCTTCATAGCACCCATGGTCACGAGGGGTACTGAGGTGTTTGACGTCCCGATGTCATAGTTAGCCTGGCTACCTTCAGTTTTTGAATATTAATTTTTGGTCCGATCTACGCAGAACGAGCTTACAGTATCTTGAAGCTTACAGTGGTATGCTTGGGTTTGGATTTAATTTTATTAATTATAGGATCCCAAGCAGATGGCAGCACCCATCCATCTTCTCTCTTGAAATTAGGATATTTTTTAATTTCACTAACCTCGCGAATCATCCTTGGTATGAATCGGTGTTCTTTTGCAAGGATTTATGGTTCAAATATGACAGGGACGTCAAACACCTCAGTCCCCCCTGTGACCATGGTTTAAAGCACCCGAAACGTCGGCAATTAAAAAGTTAAATTAAACGCGATAAAATCTGTAAAAATTAGTTTCTTTATCGTATCTTTTTAATAAATTGTTAAATGGCACTGAACATTTGTGGCAGTAATTATTTTTAGTTTTTTATTGTTTAAAGTTAAAGGTTAAAAAAAATTGTTCTGTAGTTTAGTTTTAAAACCAGAAGATTGTCGTTTTGATTATGTTTTATATTTATCATTTTATTTGATTTTTATTCTGATAAATTGTTGATACTATACTGAAAACTACGAAGTTTTATTAATATATAGGAAAGAAGGCATTTTTTCGAATAAAATAATTTTTTTCGCAAAAATCGATTATTTTTTTAATAAAAAGCGATTTTTCCCAAATCGATTAATATCACAAAGCAAAAATCGATTTTTTAATAATCGATTTTTTTCACTCAATGGCACATCCGTAGTTGACATAAGTACAAGATTGCCATATAAAATATACTCTGTGGTCTGGTCACTTTTAAGACTTGATGAAAAGTACTCTTTGACTTAATGTGTACTTTTCTTTTCTGAGGAGTTTTAGCGGGAACTTGACCGGCGGCGGTGTGCTGCCTGTATTATTATTTAAATAATGGTTTGAAGTGGACTTTGATATGTAAAAGTGGTGCGATTTTGTGTATTAAGAGTCTGCGCATGTGAACTATTAGTGAAAACTGTGAAACAAGTGCTCTGATGGTGATGTGATTCTCAAAATAAGGTGTCTGTCTGCTTAGGCGCCTTGAGATACCAACGCGAACCGTCAGCTTTCTGCTGGCTCAAGTTGCCGTCAAAATCTCCCAAGGGCTGCACAATGTGACGCATCAACAGATTGTGAAGTAGTATACTATGAAGGATAATTATAATATATTGTAACTTAAGGCTCAGAAGGGCTAGATCCCAGAGCCGTAAAGCCAGTTATTAAAAAAAAATCTTTTCTGTGATTTTTCACAAATACAAAGAGAATATAATCACTATGTACTATAGTAATTTATGTAGGTACAGGTACTATGAGTCATAAGCATATCGAAGCCATAACTATGGAATGTAGAGTACAAGGAGAACCATCATATAAGGGGCGAAAGTTGAAAAAGTGTCTTACTATTTATTGAAAATAGAGGTTCCAAAACCTACCACAATAGCGCTGGCGTCTGAAAAACTACGATATGAAGATAGCTGTTGTGAACGGAGTGAAGTCAGCTGAATTCAAATACTTAAATAATTTCATGATTAGAGTAGTTAGTAAAATGCCAGTATACAAAATCTCAACTATTTACGTAGTACAAAACCAAGCGGATTGGTCGGTCCTTGTTTTTCTCCATCTTATTCTAATTACTTTTGGCGCTTTTTTTAAACTTATCCTATTCTACTGCAGCGTCACCCTTATTGGACATGTTTTTAGGGACACTTTTCATATATAGAGATGGTCCTCCTTCTCTCTACACTCCATAGCCATAACGTTTAATCTGTTATTTTTCGCGATGGGAAATCTATGCACACAAAAACAAAATACCAACAATTTCACACAAACTGTGCCGGACGGGCGTAACTCTCCGGAGTAAATGTTGTCGGAGATACCCCGCGAGTCGCTCACGTCCTACACCTGTAGGTTCCAGACTCCTCCAACTGCCGTCTTTCACTGCCGTCTCTTTGGTTGCTGCGGATAAACTGTGGACTGAGGTTCAAAATTAAAATGCACGATTTGTAAATTAAAATAGCAAGGGAGTGGCCAGTGGATCGACTAATTAATTTGTCGCGAGATTTTACACTGTTATTTATTTATCACTATTTTTCAACTATGATTGTTCACTATATATTTTAAAACACAGATTTAATTAAACACACAGTAATATTAAAATTTCTATTGGTTTTCTAAAATTTCTATTCGTATTTTTAAAATATCTGTTGGTAATATCAAATTTCTATTGGCAGTAACAAGTTTCTATTGGTATTCTCTACAATTTCTATTGGTAATTTTAAATATCTATTGAAAGTAACAAATTTCTATTGGTAGTATCCAAAATTTCTATTGGTAGCAGCTGGTTTTCTAACACTACTGACTAGCAGCTATTAATCAACTAAAATTAGTTGAATTTAAACACTTTTGTAACTGCGAATATCAGTTACCACTTTTTCCGTCTAGCTAACACTTTTCACGAAATGTAACGGCGAAATTTCCGTTACCACTTTTTTCAGCTAGCCAACACTTTTTCACTATATGTAACTGCGAATATCAGTTACCACTATTTTTGGCTAGCTGACACTATTTTTCTATGTGCAACTGAGAATTTTCAGTTGCCACTTTTTCCGACTATGTGTAACTGCGATTTTTCAGTTACGACCTTTTTCGGCTAGCTAAACTTTTCTATTTCACTTTAACTTTTCACTGTGTTCTGCTACTAGTCACTTCAGCTACTACCGGATACTGCTGCTTGTTACTGGTAGTTCTTCCTACTACAATGTTACTGTGATTTGCCCCCATAAGGTAGACTTCGGCTATACTCTATAGAGAGCCGCTTGCCAATTCCCATTTGCCTCTTTATTTTCAATCATTTTTCTTTATGCAAATGGCACAAATTGCAACTTTTCTATATAATACAAATCTTAACTCTAACATGCTATACATCATTAAATAGACATTTTTGTTCTACATTAGTATGCGATAAAGGATAATTAATATATTTACATTTAACAAAGTTATTCATTGAAATGTCCTAAACTTTTACACTAATTGGTCATATTAATTCTTTAATTATCCTATAACTTTTAAATCGTGCTTAATTATACAAAATATTTCTTTATTGTAACGATCTATACATCATATGCTAACTAAATACCATATTTACAACTCTTTTCAGACATAAAATTATTCTCATTAATTTTTTGCTTAAAACTATTACGCAGTTAATTTAAATTTCCAGAAAGTTCTATAGCGCGGCGCGCTGTGATTGGTCGATATTTTCTTAAACAAAATAAAGTTGTTTATATTAACTATTGTCAAATCGACCTTCTATACAAACATATTGAGAGTTGTAAATACATGGTAAAACTATATTTAATACATTATTTAGTCAATTTTTCCGTATTTT